TATGATAATGTCGATTCCTAGGAAGAGATTGGATAAGAAGATCTATATAAGTGGGAAATGGACTCCAAGTTGGTCTATGGATGATAAATGTGAGGTAAAACATGCATACAACACTCAACAATTTATTGTTGATGTTGGAAAAAGAACTTGTTCATGTAGGTTTTGGAATTTAGTAGGTATTCCATGTAGACATGTATGTGCAACATTAACATATAGGAAACATAAACCAGAGAACTATGTGGATGATTGCTACTCTAGGAAAAAATATGCATTGGCATATAATGTTCCTATAAGCCCAATTAATGGGATGGATATATGGCCAATAGATGAAGCAGATGAGTTAAATCCACCTTTGTACAAAAAGGGACCCGACGGACCAGATAAGCTAAGATTCAGAGAATTGGGTGAGGGTGGTAAAAGAATAAGGAGTGTTGGAGTGACCCATAGGTGTACAAAATATGATCAAATGGGGGCATACCTCAAGAAAATGCAAGACTACTACTTATAATCCAAATGCACTAAAAAGAAAGGTAATATTGTATTTAATGGTGTCATGATTTAATTTGTTGGTTTGGGCTGGTATAAATATATTTAATTTATTTGTTGTAGAGAAAGACTCCTTGACATTATGCTAAGTTAGGTAATACACAATTTGATACACAAACAGATGCACAAGCAGATGAACAAGATGCTACACAAGTCTAAACAGATGAATAAAATGATGCACAAACAGATGAGTAAGATGTTGCACAAGTCCAAACAGATGTTGCACAAGTTCAAGCAGATGCTGCACAAACAGATGAGCAAGTCCAAACAGATGACACTGCTGCACAATTTCAAGTTAAAGCCAAACCAAGATTTGCAAAAAAGCTGACTTTCCAAAGACCAAGAAAGGTTGCACCTGCTACTAATGGTGCAGGATTTTATGAATTTTATGAAAAGAATGAGGATGAAACAAATGCTGCTAAAAAATATGCTAAAAAGGTGAAACATGAAATACCAAAAAGATCAAGTGACAGGTTGAAAACTTTGAAAATCAAATCAATCAAAGGACATGGAGTAACCACTTCAGAACCAATTGTCATACATGAGGATAAAGATGAAAGTTTAACTCAAGAACATACTGAGGTTGTGGCAGAGCATAAGCTAGGGACATGTCTAAGAACTCTTAGATCTTGGGAAGACATTGCAAAAAGTTTAACTGAGTGAAGTAAATGAAGTTATTAAGTCTATGCTTTTTGTTAAGACCATTATGTAATATTTTTATAATGCTTATGTTAAGACCTTTTTAAGGCTTATAACAATATCTTGAAATGGTTCCATCTTTTGTAGTGCTTATGTTAAGACCTTTTTTAAGGCTTATAACAATATCTTTAGATGGTACCACTTTTTGTAATGCTTATAACAATTCATGTTTAAGACTTAATATGACATTGTTATCAGTAAACTATAAGTTAACATTACATTATTCTCAGTAAAACATAAGTTAATATTACATTGTTATCATTCAACCATAAGTTAACGTTACATTGTTATCAATAGAACAAAACATGATAAATGGGATGTACCCTACATTAAATTGAAATGTAATTACCCTAAAACTACAGTCAACCCATTTTACACACAACAACAAAAAAGTCTATGATACATCAAGGGCAACTATCATCCAAAAACTCTTTTTCCTTTCAATCTGCAATAACATCTTTAATTTGTCCACCTTCTTTGAGCTTGACTGTTTAAAAAATTCTTTGTCAAACTCCTTCCCAAACTCTTGGCCATATTCTTTTTCAAATTCTTTAAGATAACCAATTAATTTTCCAGCTTTGAACAACTCACTCTTTTGAATGTTCACTAACAATTCTTCCACTTCATCATCCCAGATGAAGAACTTGTAGGAATCATCACTCTGCTTTAACACATTAGGGTTGAATGGGATTTTAGAAACACAATATATCAATAATTTCGAAGCAATTGGAAATACCTTTCCAATATTTTTGCACCTCCAGAACTTTCTGTTAGGGTTTTCATGTGTCTTCGAAACCCACATCTCCATTGAAAGATTGCAACCACACCTTGGTATTTCTCTTTCATTGAAGTTTCCAGTTGAATAATTTATGCTTCCGTCCATTATAAACCCTAATTTTGTGATTTGGAGAAGAAGCACAAATGATGGTGGAAAAGAGCTTTGTCGAAGAACCAGATGAACAATGCCAATTGAGTTTTTGTAATATATTATGTTTAAATATGTGATGTGACATTACATTGATTATTTGGCATTTAAAAAAAAAGAAAAACACAAAAAATGCCACTAAGCATGACAAATAGGCTCAGGGAGTGTGTCTTTTCATCCCAAGGTTAAAATAGAAAGAATCTTTTAACTGCAAGGTTAGTTTTACATTTTTTTTACAGAGGATAAACCAAAAGTGCCCTATATGGAAGGGACAAAAATGGTAATAACCCAAAAAAAATACACAAGCAATGAAATAAAGTCTCTATTCCATTTTATCATATTATATTCTAGTCTGCTCAGTTCTAAACCATCAATCTAAGCATAGCCTAAGAGAACTTTGAACAATGAGTGAATCATTATATTAGATAGAGTAAGAACACAAACATAAATGAGTTTCAAGCACCGAATGAGATGATAAGGGTTCTCTTTCATGTTAATCTGAGGTCGGTTTGAACTCAGTCTTGGGCACACAAATTGTTAAATTCTTTTGAGTGAGAGCTTGTTGTCCATTGTGATCCTCTCCGATTTTGGGAATTAGTCTCTACAATTGTGCACACAGAATATTTGATTTCTACCGGAAAATGATTGAGTTACAAATAAATATTTAAGTCTTGTTAACAAAATATACTTTTCTTTGTCAAGTATTCCAATGGGTGAAATTCACCTTTTAAAGATGAATAAGTAGGATGTCACAAATCCGAATCCGCACTTCTGTATCTAATGTCCCTGCACAGCTACCAATTAAATTGGTTTAACGAGATAAAAAAATCACGTGTCTTTTGACTCCTTCAATATCGTTCAATTAATGAAAAAAAACACAAATTTTATCATTATAATAACCTCTTGAAACTAATTCAAAATATCTCGAGACATCTATACCCACCATATTTTTTTGATCAAAAAAGTCTTGAAAGAATATTCTTACCAAATTAGATGCTATCACATGAGATCTCTCGTGCAAATATCATTGGCAAGTTAGATGTTAATCACATGAGATCTCTTGTGATAAGACATAAACAATTGTTTTGTCCCTCTTCAATATTATCAATAAGGAGTATAATTTGTTAGGACATAGTCCTTTATTTATTTTTGTTTTTTATTTTCCTTTTCTTTTTCTTTTTCTCTTATGTAACAAAAACAACACACCACATTTCATTAAAAACTTTAAAATATTAGAAGTATATATTATATTTGTTGAGACGTTCAAAAGAGCCTATACTATTGGGTTGGATCGATATATTGAATCAAGAATAACCATAAGAAAAATGAAAATCACATCTTCATCGAAAATCCTAAGACATTTATGAGTCTCCTCGCTTATACGATGCTTGACATTTATTCTTATATGTAGTGTAAGATTTCTAACTCATACTTAATAAATCACAATATTCTCTCCTTAAGTATGAGATATTCTATGTCTTTTATCTAGCATTAGAAACCACAACTTCATCCAAAATTTTAAGACATTGGATATATAAGAGTCTTCTACTTATGTGATGTTATATGATGCTGAAAATATACTCTTCTAACCAATGTAAACTTTTTTAACTCACTTGATGCATCACAATGTTGCTCATTATCTACCTTTCTATACAATATATGAAACTTTTAACTTGAGACTTTGATATATCACAACATGCAATCCTTAAATACACTCTTATTATACTCAAGAGAATTAATCTAGTAAAAAGCTAAAATTAATTAAGCACATCTCTCATAATTAAAATAAAATTATAATATCAAGTACTAGAAAATATTCAACTGTATACTTGAATATAAACAGTTGTAACAAGTAGTCCATTAAAAGAAAAAATAAGAGTGACAACTGACATGTGCTGAAAAGCAAGATGAGTGTGTGAGTGTCAGTGACACACTTTTTCTTGAAGATGTAGATACCTCCATTGCTGTTAGTAGTTGTTGAATACTTAGCTTTATCTTTTATGTGACTCAAATCCAACGACTCCAACTTTAATTAATTTCATCATATGAAGAAAAAATGTCCTAACTTGTGGAGGCCCATGATGCTTTTTCTTTTAGTCCTTGTTATTTTCAGTGCTTGTTTGCCTTTTTCTTTAAAAAGAGAGAGATCTGTACTAAGGTCTAAGCAAAGAAAATGATTTTCCTACCTCTTGGATATCATGCATTCATATAGTAATTTTATCGGCGACCGTTAGATTCAGATCACACGATTGAAAAAATATACAGATTTTAATTTCTAAAAAAATCTATAGATCAAACTTAAAGTTTAATTTGTTTGATTTTGATCGGACGGTCATTTTACATGCTAAAAGTGAGAAATCAAATTACCCTCAAGGTATGAAATCTTGATCTCTAAGTAATCTCTAGTGATTCTCCTCTTTTTTTGTGATAAAGGTATAGTCAGCCTAAGAAACAAGACAACAACATCCATCCATACTTTATAATTATTATATTCATATAGTGACCTGTCTGTCTATCATTCATGTTCTTTACCTTATGAAAACTTGTTTCTTTATTTCAACTTTTTCTGTCCTCTATTAATTGATATATTATTTATTAATATAGTGGTGTAGTGATTGGAAACTTGAGTGCTTTGCTGGCCTTAATCTGCTCTCTCTCGAACCTTGAGAAAGAGACACACACATAAGATTGAGCCTGCAGAGAGAGAGAGAGAGAGATTGCATGTCTCTAAAAAACCTAGCTATATATTACTATCTATATATGTAGAACTCCTAGGGTTTCTTTTCTTTGTGAGGCCTATTTTGTTGTTGAAGGAAAAAAAGGTGTTTGAATGAAGATTGATTCGAAATCATTATCCTTGTTCTCAAAGAGTGAGGGAGTGAGTGAGACATTTGTCATCAAAGAAAGGAAAGTAGGTGTTTGGAATGAGGTTTGTTCCAAGATCGATATCACATTTATTTTTATATAGACTGTCTAATCATGCATATGAGACGGGATGAGGGTGATCTCGGACCAGGCTTCATTCCTCATACCTAACTTTCCAAGTTTGTATTGTAACATCAAGAAAGCCAAAGAAAATCTAGCTTTTCTTCACATGATTTGTTCAGGTAATACTTTTTTTTTTCTCTCCTTCATATGATATAGGTCTTGTTTTCAAATAAATGGTACTTGTATTTTTGTGAAACAAAGGGACTAGAACCCCAAATATATTGTATAAATCTAAGTTAAATATTTTAGTTTTGAAACAAGCTAGCTATTCTAAGAAGCCCTAGAGACTAGTTAGCTAGTCTACATGTCCCTCTTTTATATCAATGGTGAAGTTGATCATTTTCATGAGATGAACCACATCATAAAGCAGGTTGATATTCCTTTTGGGAAATCTTAAGTGATTAACTACTTAAACAAAGATATGGCTTCAACCCTCATGATGGTTCTGGAGTTCAACAAGGAGATCATCACTGCTTTTTCTTTTGATTGACAAAATATATTTATAGGAGTCACTTCTAAGATGTGTAAGAAAAGAAACAAGCAAAAATAAATACAACACCTTAGCTATACACACAAAAAAGACAATCACCTGTTTCCCTGGTTCATTGCATTTTCTAGGGTACTTATAATAGAAAGGAATCTCACATCACAATCTTATACTCCGTAATACTATTTTTCTTAACCATCAGATCTCGATCTAACAGTCACTTATGCACCGAATGCGTGAATGAATGCATCAGTGTATTAGTGATTGCAACAAATTAAAATTAGACATGTGCACTCTATTTTATTTTAACCATAGAATTCTAAAAAGACATTGTTACTGGAGTTAGCGGATTTTTATTAATTGTGGAATAATTTATCTATCGTTTCTCCAAAATAATCTAACGATTTAATTTATTCAAATTTGTTCTTTCCCCCTTTCCTTTAGTTGTTATGTGTTATAGAGTCACTTATACTTTATTTATATAATTTGATTTGTATATTTTTTTTTAAATCTCACTTCACATTCTCTATGTTATAAATATAAAGATTCTCGTAATATTAATATACAAAATAGTATTTGAGTTTTAAAATAATATATGGGACATATTATGCAACAATAATAAGCACACTTCGCACGAGTAATTAGATGCATGCTTGATATGGGTAAATAATTATTTTACAGAATTCTATGCATAAAATTTAAACCACGTGACAAATAACTATTATATCACAAAGTTATAGCGTGAAGTAAATTCAGCTTTAAATCACTTTTAAGATATAAAGATTATTTGGATGGTGATTGGTTTCACTCCTACAAGATTCATAATCAATTCTAAAAATTTAAAATTTATTCTAGATGATTTTGAAGTATTTGATTTGTTAAAAGTAGAATTAGTTTTATCTCTAAAATTGATTCTACTTGAAGTTATAATTTGTAATTTCTACTTTTAGAATTGATTCTAGATGATTTTTATACTAAAATTTATTGTTCAACTCACTTTTACATAAATGTATCCAAACATAAATCAATTCTATTAAATTCAATTATGTTAAAATCAATTCTATCAAACTCAATTATACTAAAATCAATTCTATCAATCGTTAATCATGGTTACATTGAGTTTTTGTTGTTATGCATGCACAACAAGTTATTGAACTGGTTTGTAGATCTAATAGAGTGCTCTCGTTCCTTTCTAATTTTATTTAGCCTTATCTTTTTATCTTTATTATCTTAGTTTGTACATTTGAAACATATTTATATAATTATATATATCCACCGAAGAGCTTTATGGATATTTTATGTCGAAAAGAGAATGATATACCAATAAAACCCTTAGAAATATCATGTCAATGTTATCACTACTATAAAACACATATACAATAACGTTAAAGTCATCAGAGTTCTTCTAAATACTGTGGTGACATTTCTAAACTCATATGTTAACATTTTTTTTAAAATTTTTAATTAAAACTTTTTAGGGTATAATAACGGTTGATGAGAATACTATGGTGATAGCATCAAAGTTTCATGAGTTCGAACCTCATCTCCCTCAAATAGTTTATTCATTTTACGTTAATGCGTGTCTTTTCATTTTTATTTATATTTAAATTAAAAATAATATGAATACCACTACAGTTGTTTTGTAAAACCGTTGTTACATACTGACGCTTTACTATGAAATTACAGTTATTCAAAAAATATATCATTACGGTTCACAGTAATGACCGTCATGATAAATTTATATATACTAAACTCTCAGTATCTATTTTTTCACTAAAAAAGAAACAAGACGAAACAACCCTAACACCAACGCCATATTTGAAGGCAAACTCATTCAAAGGTGTTTTTATGTCTTCTTCTTATGTAAAATCTCGATTTACAAATTTCTGTGATTGTGATGGTCGTATGGTTTCATACCAATGTAAGAAGAGACAAAATAAAGGAAGACTTTTTTGTAGATGTCCATTTTGGAGTGATGAGACATGTAATTTGTTCATATGTGATGAAGACATGAGAGAAAAATATGGAAATGAAGTCAGAGTTATGAAGTCAGAGTTGGAAGTTGTGGAAGCTATGGATTATTTGAAGATTATGTATGAAGATTCAAATAAGAAGAGCAAGAGTTTGAAGAACAAACTCAAATCAAAGAGATTTTCTGAAAATTTGAAGATGTTATGTTTTGTTATCTCCTTTATGTTTAATGTTTACTTTGTTATGAAATGTAATAGCTGATGTTGAATCTGCAGATGCAGTAAACTAGACAGGAATATAACTATCAGACGATTTCTTACTGGTAAGTTCATCAGAATTTGTTTGTTATTTCAGCTTTTCAAAAATGTGTGTATATTAGTTGATAGATTTTATACCTGATAGTTTACGCTAATAATTTAAGTTGATAGTTTAAGTTAATAACCTTAAGAAAGTGAGAAAGTCCTAGAGTTAAGCAGAATGACTAAAATTTCATTACATAAACTTTTATTATAGAGGCCTTAATAATCATATCTAAAACATCTGGCTTAGAAAAAGTTTGACCAAGTATAATCTGATTCATCATCATCAGAATACAAAAAATCATCTGTCTTATTCTTCTTCTTCTTCTTCTTCTTCTTCTTGCTCTCTTCTGCCTGAGAGCTATCATGGGTCTTAATAATTCTTGATTCTGAGGAGGAAGAACATCTTCAGTATTGTTGGAAGCTCTGTCAGCATTGTTGGAAGCTTCAGCAGAAGTACTCATTTTGATTCTTCTTCTTCTCTGATTTCTTTGGATGAAGTTCTTTTTGTATTTTTTGTTCAAAGAGTAATTCTGATTTTATATTGTTTTTTCTAATTCTCTCTCTTCCCCGATCCTTGAATGTTTAAAAGCTAAAAGATTTCATGCATGTCAAGTTTTCTCATTTATTGATTTTTTAATTCCTCGAGCTGTTGAATGAATGATTACATCTAATTGTCTTTTCATATATCTTTTTCCCTTCTTTGATATTCCTACCTATGTATACTTTGATGTACTACAAGTTTTGATATCAATTCATAAATTATTACTGATTCTGGTATATGATATGAATGAGATTTATTCACAAACAATATCACAATAGTTATTTCTCACAAGCGTTGTTATAGGGTGCAAACTTTTCAATTTACTACTACGGTTACTGGACCGTGATTGAAAGTAACACATATATAACCATACGCTACATAACAACGCATGATTCTGCGTAATTATATATTATTTCCAATCGTTGTTAAAGACCTTTTCCGTAGTAATGCATGTTCATTATATTGTCTCTTTAATTGACACTCGTGCTTAATTGATTAGTTGATCCAAAATAAATGTATACGATTTTTCTTGAATGAGAAAGCACCCTTTATCATAGAAATAAAAAATAAAATTACACTGTAGTGTGGTAGCATGAGGCCCAACTCAAATTACACTTTCGATTGAGGAGAGAGGATTCCACATGGAACAATTTTCTGCATTCTTGCAGTACTCAGGTAGGAGCAATTTAAGTAAGGGGAATGTGGGAATGGTTTGGATGGTTGTTTTGTGGTGTTTATGGAAACATAGAAATGGTGGTGTTTAGAGGTTCTATAGCTAATGCTTCAGATTTAGTTTGGACAATTAAATTTGTGTTGTGGAAATGTTAAGTGATTGATAATACTTCTTATTTCAACATTAACTTTTACGAATTTCGTAAGGATCCTATACCTTGTCTAGCTTAAGGTATTGTTGGTTTGGAAATTCTATGTGATGAATATTCATGTTTCATATTTAATAATTTTTTATGTTATATCTAAATAAAAATCATGATATAAAATAAACAATGGATCCACATCATTAATGTTTTCTATAACTTTTCTCCATAAGCATTTGTCAATTTACAATAATCTAAAATATACCACAATTACTTTTAATATCAAGATGAACAAGAAATAATATTTTCATATTATGATACACATATAATATGAGATAAATCATATTAAATATAATAAATTCTTGCATAAATAAAATATAAAGTTGAAACATATCATTGATATTTTGAACATTTATTTACACAATTTTATGTTACCAATAGATGCATCATATATTCAAATTCATGATTTTGTTTTTCACTAAATTATTTCATCTAAAATAATACATTATTAATTAAGATAAATTACTTGCATCAAAAAATAATATTTAACATGTATTTAACATTCAAGTATACACCATAAACCAAATATATTTTTTATTAGTCAAATTCACATACTTGAATAATTTATAAATCATGCATGAGATTTTTCGTATTGTTTACTATTGTACCATGTTACTGTTATATTCTTTTCTTCTGTACTTCAGAGGCTTCTGCGAGGATGAGTTTAGAAGCGAGAATATAACATAAGGTTTTCAAAACTTTAAGTCTTTAGAATCTTCAGAACTGTGTCTTCAGAGTCTTGAGCACTTGGTCGTGAGAATCCTTATAGAGAACCTTAGATCAGAAGAGCTTCAAGTCTTTAGAGTCTCAAGAGCCGCGTCTTTAGAGTCTTCAACACTTGGTATTGAGAACCCGTTGTATATAACCTTGAACCTTTAGAATTTCAAGTCTTTGGAATCTTTAGACCTCCCGTCTTTATAATCTTTAACACTTGGTTCTTTAAGAATCCTTGTCTTTAGAACCTTGAGTCTTTAGAAACACAAAGTTTTCAGCACCTGAAGTAGAAACTTTGTCTTCAGATCTTTTAACTTTGTCTTCTTTGAAACAAATTGTCTTTTAGAAACTAAGTTTTTTAGCATCTAAACTTCAGTAGAAACTTTATCTTCAGATCTTCTAACTTTGTTTCTTTGGAACACACTGTCTTTTAGAAATGTGAGTCTTCAACATCTGGACTTAAGTGACAACTTCTGTATTCAAATCTTCTGACTGTTTTCTTAGAACACGTTGTCTTTAGAAGCTTGAGTCTTCAGCATTTGGATGTAAGTAACAACTTCTGTCTTCAGATCTTTTGACTGTTTTCTTTAGACAAATATCATGGCTTACACTTCAGAGCCTTCTAGAGTGTCCTGCTACTGTTCAACAGAACTTGTGTAGTGCATAAGCGGAATTAATTCTCTTCTAATGTCTTGGCCACGCCGTCCATCTAAAGCTGAACCTGTTTGTTAAGTACTCAACAATAACAAACATTAGTAAAACAAAATTTTTCATACCATCATACTCATTTGTTATCATCAAAACTCAGAGATAATATTGCAGAACCAAATCTTGTTCTTACAATCTCCCCCTTTTTGATGATGACAAAATTATGTATTTTAATGATACAAATTTGTACATATAATCATAATCAGTGAAATGAGAAAGGTAAGAAATACTTATAATTTTTATAATTCTCCCCTTGAGTTAATGACTTGATGAAGATTGAATATACTGACTCTAAATCATTTGAGTAAAACTCCCCCTGGTTCCAATAGATCAGATATTGAGATCTTGAGAGTCTTGACTTCTGGAATTTCAGATTGTCTTGAACTTTTGATTTGCTCTGTTCTTCTGGAAGACATATGCTTCTACTTTTGATTCTTATATTTTGTTTATCACATTCTCATACATTATCCATCTTTCTGAACATTATGATGCCAAAATAAAGATAACTTTAACTTTCATAAAGTTTGCAACTTCTGAACAATATTGGGTCTATCTGATTCTTGAACATATGTTCATAGAGTATATATCTTTGAATATATGAACAATCAGTCTTTAGAAGATTAAACATATTTCTTTCATTTTTACCTGTCTTAGAATACCTGGTGAACTTGTTCATAGTTCCTCGGTTAATTAACAAACAAACAAGCAGACAGTGATAAATGTACATTTTATATCATTCTATTATTATGATGAGTTTTTGCATTTCTGTAGGTTCATCAAAATTATTATACTTCTCCCCATTTTTGACATCATCAAAAAGATAATTATGTGGAAAAACATAGAAGATTAAAAAGATTAAGATAATATGTCAATTAATCATCAGGATAATTTATCCAAAAACATAGATGATGAAGGTTTAGAAAATTTTGCCAAAATCATCTTAAGCATAGTTTGAACAGATTCATTGACCTTGTCCCGAGTTTTGAAATGTTCTCTGAACATTTTCTGTTCTTCCTTTATTTCATCAATGGCTATTTTCAGATTGCAGTCAGACTCAGAGTTGGATACCATCAGAGCTTGCTTCTTACCTTTTTCTTCAGCAGCCTTTGCAGCTTCTAAAGCCAATCTGGCTTCCTCTGCAGCTTTTGCTTTTGCTTCTGCTTTTAGTCTTGCTGCTTCAGCTTCAGCATGGTGAGATTTTTCTTCAGCTTCTCTTTGCTTAACAGCAATTAGTTCAACATATATAACTCTTTCTCTTTCTTCCTTTCTTTCAATTACCATTTGAACATCCCCAATTCTAGATGCTTCAACGAAAGAATTCATTCATTCAACCTTAGGAGACATCCATTTCTGAAACTTCTTCCAAGAACCATCCATGTCTTGAGGCTCAGTACTTGTGCTTGCCTCTATCCTTAGCTCTGCAACTCTTTTCATATCCTTAGTTTTAAAACAGTTAATACATTCATCCAAGTTTTTAGGAGAAGGTTTTTCATAAACAACCAAGGTTAGGTTGGATTCATGATGGTTTGGTTCAGAAGTTTGTTCATGAGAATTTTGTGGTAAAGGTTTGGTAATATTGAAAAGTTATGAACAAGTGAAAGATTCGGTTGAAGAAATTTCAATAGCTTCCTGATTATTAAAGGTTGCTCTTTCTGATATTTCGAGAACAAAGGGAGAAGTTGGATAATGATGAATGATGGGTGAGTCATGAAGAGTGGTTTCTTTGTTGAAGAAGGAAAAATGAAGATTGGTATTGAAAGTTGAAAAATGAGAGTCTTGTGTAATTAATTGAGATGAGGTTAATGGAGAAGTAGAAATATGTATTGGTTCTGATGGAATGAAGGTAGTGAAAGATGGAATAGAATTTGAAGCAAGAACTTGTGTGGTAGTGGTTTTATAAATG